CGCACTCCCTCGCTGAGCCCTGGCCTCGACACCTCGACACCAAACCTCGACACCTACTCGACACCTCGACACCCCATGCCAACTCGACCAACTCGACACCCCTCGACACCCCTCGACACCATCTAGGCTGGGACCATGCTCGTCCGTGTCAAGGTGCCAAACTCGACACCTCGACACCGCTCGACACCGCTCGACACCGCTCGACACCGCTCGACACCTCTCGACACCGCTCGACACCGCTCGACACCACCTCGTCACCTCTGATGATCCTAACACAGCAGAGACGTAGAGAAGACCCATTTGGAGTCACAGAGTTAGAAAATCAGGGTTGCAGCAGCAATCAAACTTGGCTGGCAGTACTTTAGTTGCAGCCTCTTAAGTTCTAGCTCAAGTTGCAGCTCAGTTGCACCCCTGCAATGACCAATGTAGCAACCATGGCAGTACTCAGGTGGCCCTCAGGTGCTGCACAGCACCTTGTACAGTGGCAATGAATCCTCACACCAGTGAGCTTGTGCCATGAGTGCAGACCTGTGGTCCATTGCGCTTTGTGCACTGGCGACGCTGCAACGGCGACGCTGGCAGCGGCGGCGACGCTGCTGCGATGGGGTCCTGTAGCCCTTAGCTGCTGGACAGCACCTTGTGCAGTGGCAATGTCCACTGACTCATGGCACCAGCCTGTGCCAAGAGCGCTGTGGTCAGTTGCGCTTTGTGCGCCGGCGACGCTGCAGCGGCGACAACGCTGCAGCGGCGACGCTGCTGCATGGGGTGTGCTGTAGCCTTAGGTGCTGCGCCTGCACAGCACCTTGTGCAGTGGCAATGACTCCTGGCACTAGTGAGCTTGATGTCCTCAAATGTCCACACAGAGTATACTGGTTGTGCTCACACACAGGTTGTGCTACATCAACAGGGGTGCAACTTTGAGAGGCTGCAACTAAGGGATTTGGCCTTTGCAGCTGCGGCCCAAGTTTTGTTATGGGCTGCAACTGCATCCTGGCTGCCACCTTGGATACCTCGACACCTTAGACGCTAAACACCTTGACAACACTCGACACCCGCTCGACACGCTCGACACGCTCGACACCCTCGAGGCCTCGACACCCTCGACACCACTCCTCGACACCTCAACACGGACAAGCATGGTCCCAGCCTAGACAGGCCTCGACAGGCCTCGACAGGCCTCGACAGGCCTCGACACCTCTATCCCTCGACAGCAGCTCGACACCCTCGACACCGGGCCTCGACACCTCGACACCAGGGCTCAGCTCCCTCCGCCACCACCCTCTCCGCCGCCCTCCCCCCCGCCGCTTCCCTCTCCGCCGCCCTCTCCCTCGCCACCTCCCTCTCCGTCGCCTCCGTCTCCGCCGCCGCCCTGGCTGCCACCGCCCTCCCCGCCGCCACCCTCTCCGCCTTCCCCGTTGCTGCCGCCGCCCTCCTCTCCTCTACCAAGCCCCCCTCCCTCGCCTTCGCCTCCCCCGCCACCACCGCCGCCACCACCGCCACCTTCGCCGCCGCCGCCCCCTCCTCTGCCGTCCTCTCCACCACCACCCTCCCCTTCGCCGCGCCCTCCTCCGCCTCCAGACCCTCCCTCCTTGCCGTCACCGCCATCACCACCGCCGCCCCTTCCGCCTCCGCCCTCTCCACCCCCCCCGTCGCCGCCTCCGCCCTCACCGCCGCCACGGTCCCCACCACCACCTCCTCCACCGACCCGAGGACGCCTTTGGCCCGTGCATGTGATCAACCTCGTCGACGATAGTAGCGACGAAAGCGATGGGGTGCCGGTGGCGGCCCAGCAACCGCCGCCGCCCGCAGCAGCCCAGCAGCCGCCGCCGCCAACCTCGCCGCCCTCACCCCCACCCCCCTTTCCGCCACCACCGTCTCCGCCGCCGCCCTCTTCGCATTCGCCCTCTCCGCCGCCGCCCTCTTCGCCCCCTCCTCCCCCACCAGGCCCTCCTCCGCCGCCCCCCTCTCCGCCGACCCCCCCTCCGTCGCCCCCCCCGCCGCCGCCATCCCCCCCGCCGCC